AGAAACCCTAAACCCTAAACCCTGAAGCCTGGTCGAGATCCTACTCATCCGAGGCCCCGTCTTGCATGTGGGGTTGCTAGACGTGAGCATCCCAGTTCTCATCCTCACTCTGGCGCCCAGAGCCCGTTGTAGGTCGCAGGGTTCGTTTCGAAAGCTGCCCATCATGGGCCCCCAACGACCCTGAAACCAAGGCCCCCTGAATAAAGCCCTCTACCCCTAAACCCTAAACCCTAAACCCTAAACCCTCAAGTCAAGCTGCTCAGACCTGGGGCTCCCGACACAGGCTCCGGCCGCAGCTGTCCAGGACGCGGCATTCGGCCGCACGTGCCTCTGACTCTAAACCCTAACCCCAGAAATCCTCAATTCTAAACCCTAAAAACCCTAAACCCTGAACCCTAAACCCTAAACCCTAACCCCGGAAATCCTAAATTCTAAGCCCTGCTTAAACCAGGGTTGAGGACTTAGGGTTTGGAGGTTTATGGGTGGCTAGTGCTAAAGGAAAACAAGGTTACAAGATAGGCTGCTTTACCTACCACTCTGCGGATAACCTGCAACCTGAACCCTCACAGAAAGGTTTTCAGGAGCTTGGGCTTCGGGTTCGCGTGTACCTCTGGGTACTTGAGAGCACTTCGAGGTGAACCAAAGGATGCTAGTTCATGCGTGGGATGATGTTAAAGATTTAAATTTATATCCCTTGTTGGGTTTAAGCACTCTTGAAAATGCAAAGATGGTACCCAACTATGGCAAAGGATATGCATGACTTAGATCAACTGCCATGTGCACCTTCGCCTTAGCGATGATGCACATTCGTAAACCTGCCTTTCTTTGGGCCAGCTCCTGCAAAAAAGAACTGGCTCACAATGACGCACTGACAAGGACGTCGTGCCGCCCGTGACCAGTATTTGAAGAATCTCGGAGCGTCCCTGTACTCTTCAACTAGCTTTGGCCCCCAAGCCCTACTGGCCCCGTAGGCTTTTTGGGCTTCACGCCAGGCCTGCGGCTGGGCGGTTGCGAGTTAGGTATTGGGGCCCAGGGTGCTGTGGGGACAATCCCCCCGACAGAAACCCCAAACCCGAAGGGTTGGGGTTCACCGGAGTCTGGACTTATGGTAGGGTTGAGGGTTCTGCCCCGACTTTGGGCCATGCCGCGTCTACATATGGCCATCGCAAAACAGGCCACCTGCAAACCCAACAACCTTAAATCTCAAGCCACAAACACTAAACCCTAAACCCCAAACCCCTAAACCCCTAACCCTAAACCCTTGAAAGCTTAAGCCCTCAAAGCCCAAACCCTCCAACCTTAACATCCTAAAGCTCCACTAGCCTTGAAAGCCTCAACGCTACAATCCTGAAGCCCTGCACTCAACCCTAACAACCCTGCACTCGAAGCGCAAAAAACCCTGGAACCCATATAAAATACTATGATTCGTATATTGTCATAGCATATTGAGATATGATTATCTGGCTATAACAGGAACATATATATATATATGTATGTCTCTATTATTCCATTCTACTGCTGCTACATTCTGATGTTGCAACATCGCAATCTCAGATTCTTCGACAACAAGCCCTGTGAGGCCTTCGTCCCCCAAACCCTACACCCCAAACACCCTCAAACCAGGGGCTCCCGGCCGGAAGGGAAGCACCCGCAACAAGGCGGTGGCTTGGCACCATTGGCGGCCTTCGCGAAGCCCGACTTGGGGTTTGGGGTTTGGGGCTTGGGGTTTGGGGTTCAGGGTTTAGGGTTTAGGGTTTAGGGTTTGGGGTTTAGGGCTTAGGGCTTAGGGGCTTCGGGTTTCGGGTTTAGGGTTTCGGGTTTCTGGGCTGCTGTAGCGTTTGTAGGTTTTAAGGTTTCGGCCCCTGCTCTGGCACCCCGAATTTATGAGGAACCTGCTCCGACACCGCCAAGAACGGGCTCCAGACTTCAGATCAACCCCCACCTAGAGCTCAGGTTGTTTTTGGGGCTATAAAAGGGTTTAGGGTTTCGGTTTAGGGTTTACAGGACTTTGGGATTTTCGTCTGGCAGTGCTTAAAGGCGCAAGGTGATTTTGGGGGAGGTCGCGGAGTTTCGGGTCACGTTTCCAGGGCATTGCTACTCACATCTTAAACCCTGATTGCACCCCTACTGACTGTTCATATCCAGCTGAGGCTTTATTGGGTTCATTTCACCCTAAACCCCTAAACACCCAAACCCCTAAAACCCTAAATCCCTAAAACCCTCGACCCTAAAGACTAACTACTAAATATACATATTCGTAAGCCATTTGAACCGCCTGAACCCAAGCCCTACAACCCCTTGCCCTAAAGCGCACACCCCCAAACCCCTAAACCCTCCCGAACCCCTTGAACCCCTACTTGAAGGTTCATGGGTTATACGTAGGGTTATAAGCACCCTAAATACAGTAAGGGTTTAGGGTTTAGGGTTTAGGGTTTAGGCTTTAGGCTTTAGGCTTTAGGGTTTAGGGTTTAGGGTTTAGGGTTTAGGGTTTAGGGTTTAGGGTTTAGGGTTTAGGGTTTAGGGTTTAGGGTTTAGGGTTTAGGGTTTAGGGGGTTGCCCGCAAAGTTGCCCTTTGTTAGGGTGCTTGAAGAAAGAACCTGCGTAGGTGTAAACGTTTTGGGTTTTTGTGGCCTGTAGGGCTGGCCGAGGAGCTGAAAAAATGCAAACTTGCCCGTCGAACAGCGTTGATTCTTCCTGTTGCTCATTTCCGATGTCACTTCTTCTTCTTCTGCTACGCAGCAACGAGGCCGCCCCTAGGGGTGGCCCCGCCCGCGCCGGCCGATGTCTCTCGCTCTCTCTGTGTCTCTTCGTCTCCTCTGAAAGAGTCGGTGAACGTGAGAAACCACGCATGTTCGGTGACGGCGGTGTGCTTGTGGCTGCTAATCATCCCGACCTGGTCGCCTCTCTTTTTTTATGCTTCTGCTTCTTAGCTGCTTCTTCTGCTCGGCGTTCGTCTTGGGTTTGCAGACCTATAGGGCTCGTAGGGGCTAGAGGGCTTTTCGGGCTTACAGGGTTTACAGGGTTTATGGGGTTTACGGCTTTACAGGGTCTGTGCGGTTTGTAGGGCTTACAAGGTGTATCGGGTTTGAAAGGGCTTACGAAAGAAGTTGTAGGGTGGCCACAGGCAGAGAAATCCAGCTTCCAACAGCATCCCAGAGGCGGTGTCGAGGGCAGATCGCGTCTGCTTCTTTGGGCCACCAAAAATTGCTGCGGAGCGCCTCATGCCATTTCTGCTGCTCAGGCTTCTCCGGAGCGCTTTCAGGAGGGGTTCAGGGCTTTGGGCTTTTGCCAGCTTGGCAGAGGCCCCCCAAGCACCGGGTCTGTCCACCATGCACACCCTAAACCCTAAACCCTAAACCCTAAACCCTAAACCCTAAACCCTAAACCCTAAACCCCAACCAAACCCTAAACCCTAAACCTATTGATTGTTCCGGAGGTGGTTTGCAAGGTGTTGGCTGGGCTGAGGTTGCTCTGGGTGCCTTTCAGGCGTGCCAGGTGCCACTTAAAGCGAATTTTCCCGATGGGCCTAAACCAGAAAAAAAAGTTGGCAGCGCCTTGATCCTACAAGCCCTCCTAAGCCGTCTCAGCCGGAAACCGCCACAAATCCGTCAATGCCGCGGCCGAAACAATTACCTCCGCTCACGCACTCATGATCCCTATATGCAAGCATCACAAAAGCAACCCCCAACCCCACCGTTATGTGCCCTGAAGCCTAGGAGCGCAGGGCACTGCAGCTTTTTGTGGCGCCTGCTAGGCTGGAACGAGATCCGAAGAAAGGCCGCCCGCCAGCAGGCTTGAGGCCGGAGATCAGGCAGACGTCTCATGAGGTTCCCACTACTGCGTTTAGGGTTGTGGGTTTGGGGTTTAGGGTTTAGGGTTTAGGGTTTAGGGTAATATAGGGATGATTCTTTTTTCTTTGGGGTTCTTAAGCAAATAGTAGCCCACACCCGAGCATCAGGGGCTACTTGATATTCCCACGAAGTTTGGGGATTCGGTGTTCGATGGTTTCAGGGAGCTGGGGCTCAGGGCCCCCAAACCCTACTTCCGCCACAGTCTGATGTGAACAGACTCACCTGCGGCATCACGCGAGCTTGCTTGCTGTGACATGCGCACCTCAGCCCTAAACTTGCAAACCCAAGAAACCCAAACCCTGCGTAATCCCTGATCCACTGGGCGACAAGTGCTGGCACGCGACGTGGCAACGAGCATCGCTACCGGAGGAAAAGGCTATACGGCTATACTGCCAGGAGAGCGTGTCGCCAACGTCCCAAGTACTTCCTCGGAGCCTCGGTGTTTTCAGGTCCTGGGGATATCTGGCTTCGGGGGCCCGTGGAGACTTTGGGACAGGACTGGGGCGTCATCAAGACGCCGCCTTCACAAAACTTTTTCGGGTTTATGAGGGGCAGTTAAGGTTTGGGGATTCGGGTGCTCGGGCCTACAGGAAAGTAGACGCGCCGTCCTTCTTAGGGAAGGACGGAACGCTTCAAAACTGCACGGATTCCACACGCAGGGGCTTCACTGTTCACTCTCCGCCCCGGCGTGCGCTGAGAAATGGGGAAAATTCGGCGCGCGCATCTGAAGCAGGAGCCCAAGGCACAATAGAAAACAGAATTTAATCAAAGCCCCAACCCCAACCCCTTGACTTTCTACCACTCCGACTTGCCTTAAACATGAAATAGACTTCTATACCCTAAACCCTAAACCCTAAACCCTAAACCCTAAACAGTATCATTTCGGGCACCTGCCTCCTTCGGAGAGCCACGACCGGCCGCCTCAGTTCGGAGATTGAGGTGGTCTAGTTTCGGGCTTGGGCTTTGGGGGGGATCAGGGTTTAGGGATCAAGGTTCAGGAAATTTAGGGATTTGGGGGTTTAGGGGGTCTAGGGTTTAGGAATCAGGGTTCAGGGAATTCGGGGGAATTTGGGGAAATTTCGTGGTTTAGGGGTTTAGGGCCCACAGCGGGCTGTAGGTGCCCAGAAGTCAGGATCCCGGCCTTGTGCTCTATGCCTTCTTGGCCCAGTCGAAGCTGGCCGCCTGCACGGACGACTCGCCGGTGTAGCCGAGCTTCTCCTTCCAGCCGGGGTAGATCTGGTCCGCATCCTTCTGGAAGGTGAGGAAGGCACCCTTGATCTCCTCGTGGGTCTTGGCGAACTCGATCACGCCATCGCTCAGGCTGATGTTGCCGTACTGTCCGGACTTCCAGGCCTTCCAGGCCTCCTCACCCTGTCGGCAGGAGACGGCGCCCGGCTTGGGGCCATCCTTGTGGCCGAAAGAGCCACCGCCGGCGGTCAGGATCACGTTGGAGTGTCCAAGATTCTCGAAGAAGGCCGGCAGGCGCAGGGCGTTCATGCCGCCGGAGATGATGGGAGTCGTCTGCTTCATGCCCTCCCATGGCTGGTGGTAGTAGGGGCCATCGGCCGCGTCGTCCTGCAGCATGAAGGCGATGTTCTTGTCTGAGGCATCGCCCTCCATCTTGCCGAAGCTCATGGTTCCGGTGTGGATGCCGGACGCACCGATGACTCGGGAGATCTTGGTGTGCACGAAGGCGGTGTAACCACGCTGCGTCTGGGGGCTGGTCACGGATCCATGTCCGGCACGGTGGTAGTGCAGGAACTGTCCTGGGAAGTTGCGGCGGGCGCAGGTCACGGCCGTGCCTCCGGCCACGTAGCCATCCACCAAGAACGCGCAGTTCTCGGACAGAGGACCGAACTGGGACAGACAGTACTTGCCGCGGGCAATCATCTCGTTGGGATCATCCGCGGTGATGTTGGCAGAGAAGAGCTTGCCCACACCAGTCTCCTTGATGCACGCCCTCATGGCCTTCACAACCTCTGGGATGACCTCGTTCATCTGGCAGAACACCTGGTTGCCCTGGGGCTCATCGTTCTTGATGAAGTCGCCGCCCTGCCAGAACGCGTAGCAGGCCTCGCCGAATGGCTTGGGCTGCAGGCCGAGCTTGGGCTTGATGATGGTGCCCACCACAAGGCCACCGTTGCTGGTGCCCTTGCCCAGGATGCGCCACATGTCCTCCACGTTCACGGCCGGGCCGTCGTACAGGCGGAGGAACTCAGGGGGCAGGTAGAAGTCGTAGATCTTACCGTACTCGACGTCACCCATACCTCGGCCCAAGTTACCGTGTTACAGATGCACGACCGTCAACCTAAGCCGAAGCTCAGATGAGAGTTTGTCAGATGTCTGCATCCCACACTGAGTCCCCAACCCTGGTTGTTGCCGATGGACAAGGTCAGGAAGGAGCACATCATGGCGCGACCATCGATGATGTTGCGGTCGAACAGAAGGTTGGGGTAGGCGATCTTCATCTCCTCGCTGTCGGGGTCGATGTAGTACACCAGGGCATCCACGGACTTCGTGAAGTCGTCCGTGGTGCACACGTTCACGTTGGTGCCCGTGGAGGACTCGGCGGCGAAGTGGGCGGCGGTGGCCAGGTAGTCGTACCCGGCCTTCGGCTTCATGATGTACGCCACCAGCACGTGCTTGCCATTCCTTGTCGCAGCTCTCGCACAAATGCAGCAATAGCAAAACCTGCCTACCGAATTGGCACAGCGATGCACAGCGCTAGAAAGGACAGGCTCGAGATCGACTTTACATGTTGCCGCATGCTGCACTTCATGCAGTTTGACATATCTTGACTGCAGCTGGGTCTCTTGATGAGGGTCGCCTCGTCCAACGACAGGTCCGCATAGCGGCTGGACTGGTCCAGGGCCTTGCGCGAGACGCTGCTCTCCTTCTTGGCAGGGGCCACGCTGGCACCCACGAAGGCGGCGGCGGAGGCCTTCTTGGCCCAGTCGAAGCTGGCCGCCTGCACGGACGACTCGCCGGTGTAGCCGAGCTTCTCCTTCCAGCCCGGGTAGATCTGGTCCGCATCCTTCTGGAAGGTGAGGAAGGCACCCTTGATCTCCTCGTGGGTCTTGGCGAACTCGATCACGCCATCGCTCAGGCTGATGTTGCCGTACTGTCCGGACTTCCAGGCCTTCCAGGCCTCCTCACCCTGGCGGCAGGAGACGGCGCCCGGCTTGGGGCCATCCTTGTGGCCGAAAGAGCCACCGCCGGCGGTCAGGATCACGTTGGAGTGTCCCAGGTTCTCGAAGAAGGCCGGCAGGCGCAGGGCGTTCATGCCGCCGGAGATGATGGGAGTGGTCTGCTTCATGCCCTCCCAAGGCTGGTGGTAGTAGGGGCCATCGGCCGCGTCGTCCTGCAGCATGAAGGCGATGTTCTTGTCTGAGGCATCGCCCTCCATCTTGCCGAAGCTCATGGTGCCGGTGTGGATGCCGGACGCGCCGATGACTCGGGAGATCTTGGTGTGCACGAAGGCGGTGTAACCACGCTGGGTCTGGGGGCTGGTCACGGATCCATGTCCGGCACGGTGGTAGTGCAGGAACTGTCCTGGGAAGTTGCGGCGGGCGCAGGTCACGGCCGTGCCTCCAGCCACGTAGCCATCTACCAAGAACGCGCAGTTCTCGGACAGAGGCCCGAACTGGGACAAGCAGTACTTGCCGCGGGCAATCATCTCGTTGGGATCATCTGCGGTGATGTTGGCAGAGAACAGCTTGCCCACGCCGGTCTCCTTGATGCACGCCCTCATGGCCTTCACAACCTCTGGGATGACCTCGTTCATCTGGCAGAACACCTGGTTGCCCTGGGGCTCATCGTTCTTGATGAAGTCGCCGCCCTGCCAGAACGCGTAGCAGGCCTCGCCGAATGGCTTGGGCTGCAGGCCGAGCTTGGGCTTGATGATGGTGCCCACCACAAGGCCACCGTTGCTGGTGCCCTTGCCGAGGATGCGCCACATGTCCTCCACGTTCACGGCCGGGCCGTCGTACAGGCGGAGGAACTCAGGGGGCAGGTAGAAGTCGTAGATCTTACCGTACTCGACGTCACCCATACCTCGGCCCAAGTTACCGTGTTACAGATGCACGACCGTCAACCTAAGCCGAAGCTCAGATAAGAGTTTGTCAGATGTCTGCATCCCACACTGAGTCCCCAACCCTGGTTGTTGCCGATGGACAGGGTCAGGAAGGAGCACATCATGGCGCGGCCATCGATGATGTTGCGGTCGAACAACAGGTTGGGGTAGGCGATCTTCATCTCCTCGCTGTCGGGGTCGATGTAGTACACCAGGGCATCCACGGACTTCGTGAAGTCGTCCGTGGTGCACACGTTCACGTTGGTGCCCGTGGAGGACTCGGCGGCGAAGTGGGCGGCGGTGGCCAGGTAGTCGTACCCGGCCTTCGGCTTCATGATGTACGCCACCAGCACGTGCTTGCCATTCCTTGTCGCAGCTCTCGCACAAATGCAGCAATAGCAAAACCTGCCTACCGAATTGGCACAGCGATGCACAGCGCTAGAAAGGACAGGCTCGAGATCGACTTTACATGTTGCCACATGCTGCACTTCATGCAGTTTGACATATCTTGACTGCAGCTGGGTCTCTTGATGAGGGTCGCCTCGTCCAACGACAGGTCCGCATAGCGGCTGGACTGGTCCAGGGCCTTGCGCGAGATGCTGCTCTCCTTCTTGGCAGGGGCCACGCTGGCACCCACGAAGGCGGCGGCGGAGGCCTTCTTGGCCCAGTCGAAGCTGGCCGCCTGCACGGACGACTCGCCGGTGTAGCCGAGCTTCTCCTTCCAGCCAGGGTAGATCTGGTCCGCATCCTTCTGGAAGGTGAGGAAGGCACCCTTGATCTCCTCATGGGTCTTGGCGAACTCGATCACGCCATCGCTCAGGCTGATGTTGCCGTACTGTCCTGACCTCCAGGCCTTCCAGGCCTCCTCACCCTGGCGGCAGGAGACGGCGCCCGGCTTGGGGCCATCCTTGTGGCCGAAAGAGCCACCGCCGGCGGTCAGGATCACGTTGGAGTGTCCCAGGTTCTCGAAGAAGGCCGGCAGGCGCAGGGCGTTCATGCCGCCGGAGATGATGGGAGTGGTCTGCTTCATGCCCTCCCACGGCTGGTGGTAGTAGGGGCCATCAGCCGCGTCGTCCTGCAGCATGAAGGCGATGTTCTTGTCCGAGGCATCGCCCTCCATCTTGCCGAAGCTCATGGTTCCGGTGTGGATGCCGGACGCACCGATGACTCGGGAGATCTTGGTGTGCACGAAGGCGGTGTAACCACGCTGCGTCTGGGGGCTTGTCACGGATCCATGTCCGGCACGGTGGTAGTGCAGGAACTGTCCTGGGAAGTTGCGGCGGGCGCAGGTCACGGCCGTGCCTCCAGCCACGTAGCCATCTACCAAGAACGCGCAGTTCTCGGACAGAGGCCCGAACTGGGACAAGCAGTACTTGCCGCGGGCAATCATCTCGTTGGGATCATCTGCAGTGATGTTGGCAGAGAACAGCTTGCCCACGCCGGTCTCCTTGATGCACGCCCTCATGGCCTTCACAACCTCTGGGATGACCTCGTTCATCTGGCAGAACACCTGGTTGCCCTGGGGCTCATCGTTCTTGATGAAGTCGCCGCCCTGCCAGAACGCATAGCAGGCCTCGCCGAATGGCTTGGGCTGCAGGCCGAGCTTGGGCTTGATGATGGTGCCCACCACGAGGCCACCGTTGCTGGTGCCCTTGCCCAGGATGCGCCACATGTCCTCCACGTTCACGGCCGGGCCGTCGTACAGGCGGAGGAACTCAGGGGGCAGGTAGAAGTCGTAGATCTTACCGTACTCGACGTCACCCATACCTCGGCCCAAGTTACCGTGTTACAGATGCACGACCGTCAACCTAAGCCGAAGCTCAGATGAGAGTTTGTCAGATGTCTGCATCCCACACTGAGTCCCCAACCCTGGTTGTTGCCGATGGACAAGGTCAGGAAGGAGCACATCATGGCGCGACCATCGATGATGTTGCGGTCGAACAGAAGGTTGGGGTAGGCGATCTTCATCTCCTCGCTGTCGGGGTCGATGTAGTACACCAGGGCATCCACGGACTTCGTGAAGTCGTCCGTGGTGCACACGTTCACGTTGGTGCCCGTGGAGGACTCGGCGGCGAAGTGGGCGGCGGTGGCCAGGTAGTCGTACCCGGCCTTCGGCTTCATGATGTACGCCACCAGCACGTGCTTGCCATTCCTTGTCGCAGCTCTCGCACAAATGCAGCAATAGCAAAACCTGCCTACCGAATTGGCACAGCGATGCACAGCGCTAGAAAGGACAGGCTCGAGATCGACTTTACATGTTGCCACATGCTGCACTTCATGCAGTTTGACATATCTTGACTGCAGCTGGGTCTCTTGATGAGGGTCGCCTCGTCCAACGACAGGTCCGCATAGCGGCTGGACTGGTCCAGGGCCTTGCGCGAGATGCTGCTCTCCTTCTTGGCAGGGGCCACGCTGGCACCCACGAAGGCGGCGGCGGAGGCCTTCTTGGCCCAGTCGAAGCTGGCCGCCTGCACGGACGACTCGCCGGTGTAGCCGAGCTTCTCCTTCCAGCCAGGGTAGATCTGGTCCGCATCCTTCTGGAAGGTGAGGAAGGCACCCTTGATCTCCTCATGGGTCTTGGCGAACTCGATCACGCCATCGCTCAGGCTGATGTTGCCGTACTGTCCTGACCTCCAGGCCTTCCAGGCCTCCTCACCCTGGCGGCAGGAGACGGCGCCCGGCTTGGGGCCATCCTTGTGGCCGAAAGAGCCACCGCCGGCGGTCAGGATCACGTTGGAGTGTCCCAGGTTCTCGAAGAAGGCCGGCAGGCGCAGGGCGTTCATGCCGCCGGAGATGATGGGAGTGGTCTGCTTCATGCCCTCCCACGGCTGGTGGTAGTAGGGGCCATCAGCCGCGTCGTCCTGCAGCATGAAGGCGATGTTCTTGTCCGAGGCATCGCCCT